GTTATAGTTCAGGAAAAAACTCATGCTGAACCTGAAATTTTTCCTGCTTTATGTGTCGCTCCATAAAGTTTATGTGAGCATGAAGGCTGAGCCTGTCTAAAATGATTTATTAAATGGAAGTTGAGAGCACTGAAGAAGATTAGAAAGAGCAGAATTCATGAGAATAATCAAACCTAGTGCTATTGTGTTTGGCTGTTTCGTCTAGGAACAATACAATGCTATTCTCAGGAATCCCTAAAATGCATGTAGAAACAGAATTACTATGCTAGCCTCTACTTGCTGTTGCTTACACCTGGATGCTAATATTAAGTATGTTATTAAAAAGTTAAACAAGGCTTAAGCCAAGCCCAGAGCTGGCAAGGTATACTATTGTGATGTATGAATCAGTCATAGTTATTGTGTAAGGAAGAGAACATGCTTCAAAGGCCAAAGGCCACCTTCTCTTTTTTTAATTTTCTTTTCACTTCTTTCTTAAAGGCAGGGCTCTGGAGTGAGGTTTACAGGATGTTGAACACAGCTTCTCTGTTGTGCTGCATGCTACATTTGTTAAATGCAAGTTTGCCAGCCTTTTGTTCTGTCTTCTTGGAAAGCCAACAGAAGAATCCAGAGTCACCAGCTGCATATCTTGTCCAAGTCCTGGTCTAATAATTCTGCAACCCTGTGAGAGTTCATTAATTCCCCATTATGATTTGGGTTTCCTTTCTGAACAGGCTGGTTGTGCAGCACCCCCAGTCTCCTGGTGCAGATGTGGTTTACAATATTTCTGCGCTGGGAGTGCTGTAACAGCAGCACTGCTAGAAACAGACCATTCTGAATATGCTGTGGCCTTAGCATGGACAAATGGACTTAGGTGGAGATGAAAAATGTGAGAAAATGGGAAAAGTATTAATCCTTTCTCAAAGGACATTTGTGTGTTTTCAGTATTCCAGGTTAAGGAAACAGTAAAAAGAGAGCATCTGAGCAGGACTCAGAGCCTGTAAAGCAAGTATATTCTCTGAAATTAGATGCAAAGTCCCTAAGGAAAAAATTCCAGCTTCCTCCTCATGGGTGGAACAGCCATTAAATTTTTGCAGTATCCAAAAATGAAGGATACTCTTGATAACAAGGCATTAATCCATACTTGGATTAGATTATCCCACCTTGAGCCCAGTTCAAATGGATTTATAGAAAAGGACATAGAAGGGTTGAGTGATCCATTTCCCTTTTCTAGAAGCAGCCAGCATTGGACACTGTGGAAGGGCACTGAAGTGCAGTGCATCAATTACTGTCTGTCTTATTTTAGTTTGGAGTGTAATCTGTACCACGAGCTGCAAAGCTAAAAAAGGAGTTGCATAAATGTTTCTCATTTACCTAGAATTGTGTGCTATTCCTCAGAATCCTTTGGAAGCAGGTGGCTGCTGTACCCCCAGCACAGGGCTGGCAGACTTGGAACCAGCAAGAAAAAGGCAACAGGTCCCAGTTTCTTATAAAGGCCATTTTGGCTGCTGTCAGTATGGCTTCAGCTGGGACTTTCTGGAGCCTGCTTCTATAAATATACAACAATTCACTTGTGTAATTGCCATTACCAATGTGAATTCAATTTGTCTATATTTTTATACCATAGCATTAGGTCTTAGAATCTTGAACTGGTATAGATTCTTTTAATTAATACTGATCTCTCCAGATCCTGAGAGGCAGAAATGAAATCATCTGAAGCAGATGGGGCATGGAATAAAGTGAAAAATAGAAATATTTTTTGGTAAGATTGTTATGCTTTTTATATGCAGCATTATTTATGCTGAATAATCTCCTGTAATCACCTGATCCACAAAAACTAAATTAGAATTCTGATTCCAGGATCTTTTGATTCAGACTACTTTTATTTTTTTAAAAGTTTCAGGGTGTTTTAACTCAAAAAACCCTGCCATTTTGGGTTGGAGTAGAATCTGATAGAAAAATCTACCACTGAAATCCAAAAAAATCACTGAAAAAAATTGGAAGAGAGCCTAATCTTGCTCAATCCGCCTCTCAGCAAGAGAATCTGGTTAGGAAGGTGTGGTCTGGAATGATTTTGTCACTTGGGGCTGGATGGACAGTGGTGCTGTATCTTGGTGATCAGTGACTGGAATCCCAGTGTCAAAGCATTTAAAGCACAGGCTTTAGAGCTTTCCACTCACTTGATGCAAAGTGTCTGCCAAGCACCTTGGGCCACAGGGCTGCTTTAAGTACTGTCATTAATAGTTGTTAGTAGCTTTTATAAGGCATCTCTTACATTTCCTTTAATTCATACAGGGCTGTTGTTGCCTGTCCTGTTGACAGCTTTGCATGTGTGCTTCCTTGGCAGGGACAGCACAGGATATACTGCTCTTGCACTTAACTGTGCACAGAGGAGTAACTCCATGGCACGTCTTCAAATGTGTGCACAAAGAGAGGATGTGCAAGCACGAGGCAGTGAGCATCTGCACAGTGCTGTGTTCCATGGGTTCTGCTGCAGGCAAATTCCCTGGGAAAGCCATTCACTGCTACAAACACACGTGAGGAAAGGGAGCAGAAGGGAAGTGCAGGGCTCAGACCTGGCATTGTGTGGGAGTTGTTCAGAGCAATCAGTGAGGGATATTCTGGACGCCAGGGCTTGCGGCACATCAGCTCTGTGGATGTCTTGGGTGCTCTGTGAGGAAAGGAGCCTTCCCCACTGTATTTCTTATCACCACCTTGCCAGGCTGCCTGGATGCTTCAGCATTAGGCTGTGAGTAAGCTCCTCTGCAGACAAAAGTACCTGAAATAATAGGGAATTCTACCCTAGAGTTCTGTACAAGGCTTACTCCTCTTCTGATGGATTTATGTGGCAGCCTGACCTAGTTTTGAAAGTACAAATCCAGACTTGTATTCAGTACAGTTAATCCCCATTTCTTCTTTTCAGATGGACTTTGCAAAGTTTATAACTATCCTCATATCTGTGCAGGATCATGTTCTTAGTTACTGCTCCATGTTGATACTGGCATTGTTTCAAATATAATGAATACCTGAATAAACAACCCTGAAAAATATATGTGTATATATATAGTCAAGATTAAATTTATTAGTTTGGCCTTTTGGCCAATTGCCTAAGTACAACTGCTGTCTTAAAAAAAGATCAATCTCTGATAGTCAGGAGCTTTAGGCAAAATTTTTCCTTTTAGATCTTGGACCAGCTGTGGTACTTTGGGCCATCATATTCACTTGATGGAATAACTACTGTTTTTAATAGGACTGATGGAAGAGGAAGGCTTTTTAGAATTGGGATATTACATAGACTTAGTTAAATTGCACATTTTGTGCACAGGAAAAAAATATTCTTCAGACTGAGAGGGTAGAAGGGTAATTCACCCCAAATTGAAGCCTCGGGATTGATAACAGGTTAAAAGTAATGTCTTCCATTAGCTAGGAATTGATTATTTTTCTTTCCCACAGCCTCTTCCATAAGTGAGCCAGATCTCCTGGTTTTGGCTTTTGTTCTTCAGTGTCCTGAGGCTTTGCGTGGTTTTCAGCTGAGTGCTGCAGCAGTGCTCAGCAGAAGGGTGACCCCATGTGAAACTGCCTTGGATTGACTGCACTGTGTGATGCACTGGGAGCACATTGGAATGCTTTCCTTCCCTAATTGTCCTTAGATGGGGGAGGAAATAATATGATGCTGCTTTCTCCTTGTCAGAACCTGAGAAAGCTGCTTCCATGCATCATTATCCCACAGTGTTGCTTCCAGCACCCCTTGGATGTAGCATGTTAGTTTTTTGGAGCTGATGTTGAGCACCATGATCTGTGCAGCTCAGCCTTGTTGCAGCTATAATTAAGCCCTTCTGTTATAAACCAAATAGTCTGAAAATCATTTTCTTCATTTACTGCACCTGCCAAGGGAGAGCTCCTGCAACCTTTAATGATGCAGGTAATCCTATTACTGCCAACACAAATACTCCATTAGAGAAAGGCTGCAGACCCACAGCTAGATGTTTTTCTTCCTGCGTTTCCCAGGAAACATTTGTCCCTGCCTCTCTACATAAAGATTTGAATATTTTGTAGAAAAACATTGTCCTTTTGGGTCAAGTTTAGACAGTCTCTGGAGTAGGAGAGTGATTAGTGCTCAGAATGGCCAGTAGCACAGGTTGAGACATTCTCACAGCGATGTAAAGATGCAGCTTCACGTGTTTACTTCACAAAACAAAACCCCTGTCTAGGCCAAATAGTGTAAGCACTGGGCTATTTCCTATTCTGAGAAAGTCTGTTCAGTTCTCCATTCCCTAAGCCCCAAACATTTTGCTTTCATTTGACCACAGAGCAAAGCATCAAGGTCATTTTATTGAAGGAATTTTGGTTTCCAGTAAGATCAAACTGCACCTTTGTTCTGATCTCATTACAGTCTTTCCCAGGTGACAAGATGTTGGTAGGTGCTTAATATGCCACAGTGATGGGGACTTCTTTTTGCTAAACCTAAAAAAAATCACATCAGATTTGTTCTACACTCACAAAGTCAGAATTGTGGTGGGAAAGTAAATAGAGAATCTGATTTTCATACCTACACTTTAATTCTATGTTCATTTGTATCCGTTAGGACTGCTGCTACTGGAGCTGATTTGAATTCTAAACAGTGTTAGATATTTATTTTTGTAAATCTGTGCTATTCATCTTTAATATAATCATCTAATTTACTCTATTAATGCCAGCTGCTCCATTTGGCACAGGTCACCTGGAGTGTTTGGAACACGCTACTAATTTTTCCTTGAACTAATTCTAAAAATCCATAGAAGTCGGAGCACTCCACCTCCACAGTGAGGGAATGTTTATTTCTGTCCATGTTCCTAAACACCTTCTTAGTTTGGCAGAAGAAAATATTCTCTGGGAGGCAGACGTCCATTTTGCTGGTAAATATTTATTTATTTGCTTGGCTTTTTCCAGAATTGTCCTTGGCATTCCCAGGTGACCCCAGCGAGTGGCCACTTGTATTTTTCAGAGAAAACAGCTGCTGCTTTGAAGTCCTAGGATGCCTTTCAACTCTTTGGTGCCTGCCACTTCTCTCTTGTATTTGAAAACTTCTAGGATGGGTAAGAGTGTGAAATGTTTTGTGTTTCTATTCTTTGACAAACTTGGCTTAACACCACTTCACCCCACCCTGGTCTCACAGAAGGCAAGTGCAAGATTTGGAATTGCATAGAGGTTTGTACAAGTTAGGGCTAGTCCACTCTGAGAAAGTAGAAAAAACAAAAATGAACAAGAGTGATGGCCCTAGCAAACAGAACAGCTGAAACATGATATGGCAATATTGTGATTTTTCTTGAGCTGTGGTTTTATATATTTTTCAAGCTACAGATAACAGCATGGGTCCTGTGCCTCCAACCCAAACCTCAGTTACACTTCTTAATCCACAGGAGAGTGCATCATTTTATCTGTCTTCCAAAACATTCAACTAGTAAACTAAGATAAAAGGTGACATTTTAAAATGTAAATTTTAATAGGCAACTGTACTTTAAATAATGAAAGAACATTTCCCTAGCTGAGGAATTTGCAGGAGGTAGATTAGAGTCAGGCCTCTGGCACCCCTATTCTGACTGGTTTCCATTCTGCTGTAAAGTGGAGATCCTGATCACAGAAAAATCTATTTTCCTCCTGTATAACTGTAATGAGTTTATTAAAAACACACAATAGTGTATGGCAGTTTTGACTAGGCACATTACCAAAGGTGATAACATAATTAAGCCATGGCTTGTCAGAGGTTGAGACAGTAGCTAAAGGGAAAATAGTTTCATTTCTCCATCTGGATCATAGAGTGAATTTGAAATCCTGCTGCTGTTTCTGCTGAATGGAAATTACTCTTCTGGAGAATCCAATGCTCTGCAGGTGTGCCCCTAATGTGTAAGTGGTTAGCAGTGCTCCAGCAGGATGGTCTGAGGTGTCTCATGAGAGCTCTCCCCAGTAACAGAGTTCTGGCTCACAGCATACCTTATTGAACACTTTCTAAATGATCAAACTTCCACAAAAGGTTGAACAGGGAGTTCATGGTCTGTAAAGATCCTGTTTGATCAGCAGTGGTTCATGAGTTCAGGTCCAATCCCCACAGAGATTAACGTGAAATCAGTTTGTAGTTCTATGAAAATTTAGCAGATCTCATTCTGTAAATGAGTAACCAACTTATGTTGTTTTCAATGTAGTGTTTCATTTCTTAATAGATTAAAAAGCTCTGCTATTCAGTTGTGGACATAAACAGCTGTCTTATCTCTAGTGCTCTTCTGTGAGCAGATCCCTAGTCAGAGGTTCATGCTAATTAGAAAAGGGTATTGTGTGTATCTGTATTAGTTTCAACTTTGTATTTAACCTCCCCAGATTTCTTAATGTTTTCAAAAAAAGGCTTTCTTTTAGCCTAACCTCTTGAAACTGCTTATCCTAATATTTATCCTTGTGTTGTATTGCAGACAATCCCATTCCTTTAGCAAGTAATTAATGTGAGGCTGTGTCACCAAACCCTGAGGCCCATCACTGCTGCAACTGTGTTAATTTAAAGCATGTTATACTCCTCAAATTATCTCTTTTGAAGAGTCTCTCTGCCACAGTTTTGTACTGCTTTGTTTTCAAAGTAATCATCTACAGTCCAGATTTCCTTTGGGAGGGAAAAACAAACAAACAAAAATGAAAAGCCAAAATAAAGAGTTGGAGCCAAACCCTTTCAAATTAATGAGTAAAAGACTTCAGACTTCTGTATTGTTACCCGATGTTGAACATTAAGCTGCCTCCCATAGTTTCCTTTCCTCCTTTGTTAGTTAAAGCCTCTTTTTTTTCTTTTTATGATCAGTTTTTACAAGTCTGATTTTTTCATCTTCATCAGAAATAGTATGTTAAAGTTATTAAGCCAGCAAGGGCTGAATACATTTTGGGCTTTTTTCACCTCCCAGCCCTCTATCAAAAAAAGGCACTGAGAGTGAGATCATGGCCTTTTTAGGCAAGCATAATCTTTTTTCCAGTTCTAACAAATTTCAGACACATTTGAACAGAAAAGATCACGTTTCTGTGCTGTAGGTAGATGGCTCCAACATTATTCATATGATTCTTTGTATATGTCTGTAGCAGCCCTTTAACAAGAGCAGTGAGCCAGCTCTGAAATACAATAGCACTCAGGGCCACCCTTTTATGTTTGTTTACTCACTTTTATGAGCCTTCCTCAGTTATTTGATTCACAGGGCTGAAGCATGCCAGAAGACAGATCAAGAAATTCATTGGCCTTTTTTTTGGCGAGGCCTGCTCTGCTGACCTCTCTGTGCCAGGGTGCCAGAGCTTTCTTATGGAACTTGAAATCTGTATTTTTTACCACATGGCTGGTTAACAACATATCTGATCTGTTGTCTACAGCAGTCTGTCTCTTGATTTTAATACACCTCCATTGGCATGGAGTCTCCACTGCTGAAGGTCTGTTCCAGAGCAAGATAAATCTGTAAACAGGTAGATGGAAGAAATTTAATTTATCACTTAAAGATTTTGCCAGTGAAGGTCACACTGGGGCCGGTGGGTATCAAACCTAATTCTGCTGCTCATAGAAAAAAAGATTTAACAGTAGGTAAGTTAACCATTGGACCATTTTATCTGTCACTTCATTTCATCACGGTAGTCATTTTGAACAGCTAAATATAAATAAAGGTTGTAAACTGTACTGACAGCTGTAATCTTATTGCAGCAATTATCTATATAAAGTTTTCTCACTTTCATTATGAAAAATAATGATCTAGCTAAATAACCCTTGATTTGAGCTTTAGTTAGAAATTGATGTACAAATCACTCTCCTCTGTGACCATGTGCCCAGGGTTGACTCAGTCTTTTGAGTATTTAAAAACTGAGCCAAAAGGTCTAACCCTTTGGGTCTAGAACCTTCCTTTTCTTTATGGGTGTATATTTGCATGAATAAAGGTGTTGAATCATCCACATGCTACTATATTAGAAGTAATTAATACTTAGAGGGTAAGTATGGTTTTTCCTCCCATAAAGTGATTTAATTTTCATATCCTCTTTGCCTGGAGCAACTTGCTTCAGCAACCTTGCAGAATTTTCTATGTTTTTGATTTATTGTACAGCATCCTTCTACACTTCTAGTCCTTATAGCTTACACACATATGGAATTAGTTACAGATTTAATGCCCCATTGATATCAGTGCAAATATTTAATTTCTGACATCTTTAAAAGAAAGAAGGATCAGAGTTTCAGGAATTTTCCCACTGCGAAATCTCATTTAGATATGTTTTCTACTGCAAAGGAAAATATGACTTCTGAAAACTGAAATATCTGAAATGTAGCTGATGATAAATATGCATATTGTAAACATAGTATATGTCTCTACAAGTCAGAGATAAAAGTTTTACACTTGTTTGCAGGCCCTAAAATGTGCAAAATATCCTGTGCATCTAATGATGAGTTACTCCTAATTTTTTTTCTTATTTTCTTATTTTGTTAAAATATGGCAATGAGCAGGCCATATTTGCCTAGCATATCCAGTCCTGCTGGACTAATGACCTAACAGTTTACTTGCTAATTATGGTGGAATCTTTTAGGCCATATATGTAGGAGATACACTTTTTATGATTTCATATATGCATACATATTTACAAGTATATGAAATACTTTTAAAGGAAAGAGATGATGGGTTTGGAAAACCAGTTCCTGTGGAGTTTTATGTATAATGATTTCTGAGGGACTGAATAAGAGGAGATGGCTTTACTTATTAGGAAGGAGCCATGTAGAAAATTACAGTTTTTATTCGTCATATTGAACAAGTCAAAGAATTAGATTTTTTGCTCCATATGTGTATGTCTTTTTGGATTTTTTGTAAAGAACTTAGTTGGTAGTTCATGTCAATTTTTTACTTGAAAAATCTTTTATATTAAGGCGATCAGATTGTATGTATCTCTCCTGATATTTTCTTCTAGAAGTCAGACTAAACCAAATGCTGAATCTGCACACCTCTGAAGTGTCATAGGTTTAGGCTGTGAACTTTGCATCTGGTCCATATGAACCTAAGAAACCAAGCAAAAAGAAAGAAAAATCATAGCAGTTTTAGAAGTAATGTGTATATTAAACCTCATTTTGTTCACACTCTTTGAAGTGTATTCAAAGTGCATTGCCCCCTATTCCAAGAGCCCAAGGTTGTTCTTGCTCTCTGAGAAGCTGCTGTGGGCACTGTTAAGCTGCAGGCTTTTGGGGTAGGCAGTTTGGCCATAACAAGGACAGGCAAATGTCTGTGGATCGTGTCCTTCAAGGGGCTGATCTGATGGAATGCCTCTGAGGACCTCTGTCTGATTTGGTGGCTTTGCATTCTTTTGGCAGCTTGCTGCTGCCTGTGGCTCTGGTGGTGCCTTGGGTCCTGCAGCCCAGGCCCCTGGCAGTAAAGTGGCAGCAGAGCCTGGTCAGTGTTTCCTAAACCCACACATGATTAAGGTGAGCTGGATTTCCATAGGGTGAACATGATCCTACCTCACTCTGCCTGTGCTTGGTGCACACCAAGCACAGCAGAACCCACCTTGGGGGAAATCTAGGCTGTAAGAAGGATGGGAGGGGGGAGACAAGATATAATAAATCCATCACTGCCATTTCTACAAGTCCTTGCTTGCAGATGCAGTAAAATTGAAGAGTCATCCATATATGAGCAATTAGAAGCAAAACCAACATAAACATTTCTGCACAACTAATCAATAAACTCGTATGTCTTCATTAGCAAGGTAGCATTTTGTGTTATTGATATTAAAGATCTACTTTCTGTGTTGGGTCTCACTGCAATTGTTATTGATGAATAAAACCCCCGTGGGCTGAAATTGTTGTCTTTTAGAAAGTAGAATCTTGATTGGACTGCTTTATTTTGCTTGCATCACTTCTCACCACATCTCCTATTAAGCCAAAAGTATTGAGAATGTATAATTTTCCAAGTCTCAGCTGTGACTCGCACTGGACACTGTGGATGACAGTAGCAGAATGCTGAAGCTCTATTGGTGTGTGTGTATCACTTAGGGCTATTTTAAGAATGGATTTTGATTTGTGTCATTCCTACTTTAAATATGACTTGTTCAATAACACGTTCAGTAGTAATTAGATAATTTAATATCTACTGACAGGTCTTTTGTGACTGAGACCCAATTTTAGCTCTGCATACCAAGGACCCTGCCAAGGAAAAGTAACCCTTTTACTTAGTAAGGAAGGATAATGGGTAACTTCTGGAATTAAGTGAAAAATTGAATCCAGCTTCCTGTGTGCACTTTAGGTCCCACACTGGGATTACAGAACTAGCTCTGAACTGCTTGGCTGCTGACAATAAAGATTTTATGTGTGTCATGTTGAATTTTCAAAAAAAGTTCTCAAATCAAAAATCTCCATTTTACATTGAGTCCGGCTGCTTGTTTAGGAATTTAAGTGCTTTGCACTGGCTTGTCTTCTCTGTAGCACTCAAGTTTAAGTTGGTTATTTGGAGAAAAAATGGTAATATTCCAGGTTAAGGAAAGGGGAGAAAGAAAATAAGGTCATATGCAAACAGAATTTAAAAGTGTTAGCCTAGTTTCCGTCATTAAGAATTTATCCACTGAAGAGCTCATATTGGCCAAGTGCTTGCTTACTATTTCACTATAAGATTTCACTATAAGGGAATTTTATAAACACAGGAATAATTTCATTTCCTTCTATTACTATATATTATTATCTATTCATATATCTATGTATATTTGAGTAATGCAGAGTCAGTATCTTTAGCAATGAAGGTGCTTCTGCCCTTGGAATGAGACAGCAAATAAAAATAAATATGCTTTTTCTTGTATTCAACATTTTAAATATTTATAGGCTGTCTTCTGTGGTACATAACCTATTGCATTATAGGTCATCTTTTTCTGTGGAGTGTTTCATTCTGAGAACTGCCTGACTGTGCCATGTAATCACTGGGAGCAGACACGCGAGACCCCTGCAAAAAGGAAATGCCATCATTTCTAATCTGTGCATATAAATGGATCATGCAAGTCTTAAGACCTGTGTGAATATCCACTTAGAAAAGTTTTAAAGTCTGTATTAAAAGCTTCTTCATTTTAACATGGCATTCTCCCACAGAGATTTTCTGCAATGGTTCATTAATCAAGAAAAGCTTCATTAATCAAGATATAGTCTGGATTTTTGAAAGCATATTTAAATTTAATATTCAGTCCTGACAGAATGCATTTTCTAATGTATTTAGACAGAACTGTGTGAAATTCGCAGTCAAGAAATCAGCTGGTCTTTATTCAGCATTCTAACAGGATGTCTTTAACTTTGATTTTTAGGTTCCTTTTGGTGTGAGACAGATTTACAGTTTTTCTGTTTGTAAATTATTTTTTTATATATAAAACTCCCGTGTGTCTGATTGGAGGATATTTTTCTTTGAAATTCTGCTGTCTGAATTCCACAAGAAAATAACCAGGAAGCTCTGTGATGTGATATTGTAACCAGACTCTCACTTAACTACTCATTTGTCTTTTAACTTGGTCGTGGGAACAGTAATTTACTAACCTAATTCAATGCATTTGTTGCCTTCAGAGATCAATGCTGCTCTCGGCAAAGTCAATAACAAAACTGTATTGATTTTCCTGGGACCAGATCAGCCCCTTTACACATGAGTGCGACCTTATAGCATCATAATTTTTCTGTGCAATTTCTGAAATATTAACCCATGTTTTTGTCCTTGCACAGGTCCTGATATTCTGTGTAAAAGTGAGTCCAGGAGGCAGCTGACTTCTCCAAAGAGCTGTGGCAGATAAAACATACAGCCAGGATTTCCAGTCCACTGAACCACAGAACATAGGAGGGCTCCACTCTGAACATGTGGCATGAAGAGGTGGATTATCAATATGTTATTAATATACCTGGTAATTACTCTTTTCATCTTCTTAAATGACTATTTTTTCTCTCCCAGGCATAGATAAGGGCTCAGGTTTTTGGAAGAAATCAAATATGTTATAAACCAAGTACTTTTGGGAGGCAGTGTAGTTTAATATGAGAAGCATCACCCTTTTTGCCAAAAAGTAGGAATTAAGGCACTGTTTGTTGTTGGATGTACCGTACATCCAGAATCTTGTTGGACTCAATGTTAAAGAAATGAGGGCTTGTTTAAGGTGTCAGTGCCATGACCTTCTGATATTCAGCTCTAGATCAGTGGTAGGATTTGAAAATTGCAAGGACTGGTCTAAACACCATCAGTCAAGTCTGTACATTTGGGAGCTCTTAATCTTTAAGCTTTAGACAGAAGGTCATAGGCAGAGATGCACAGGAGTCAGCAAGGAAACTGCTGGAGGATGCTGGCAGAAATTCAAAACAATGAAGGTGTGTGGTAGACTGCTTAAGTTAACAGGAGATACCTGAGCTGTTATCCCAACATAAGAGCACCAAAGAGGAAAAGGACTACCAATAAAACATATGTTAAGATGGTCTCTTTCCATTGAGATTGCTGTGAGAGGAAAACCTGAATTTTGTAATTAAAACTTTCAGACAAAGAATATGCAAAAGACAGAGAAATGCAAATTTGGGAACTGAGTCAACAGGAATGTAGACAGAATGAGATTTGTCTGCAGCCTGACAGCTTTTCTCTGAACTGCCTCAGCTCTGTTTAGGTGACTGGGAAATGATTCCTAAGCCATTCTGAGGCTTCAGATCAGGACCTTACAGAATGAACAGCAAAACACAACCTCTGCTGTAGCCCCCAAAGGTCTCCTAATGTTGTTTCAGTTTAATTAGGCTATTAAAAGAAAACAAACCTGTTCTTGACATTTATGAATATGCAGTGTTTTGTGCCGTTTGTATGGAGCAAGTTCATATCTTCACCCTGTCTCCATACGTTTTTTGTGTGTAAACTGTTTTAAATAATCCTTTGTTTTATAGAAATTAGTTGAGCCCAGTAAAATATTTCTCCTAAATACCATTCTAAATACAAAGGCCTTGCTGATGTACAGCTGAATATTTAGAGAACTAATTTATTAAGAACAGAACCAGTAATTTTTTTACTGGAGAATCCTACAGCTTTATCACATTGTTCTATGTTAAAGTAATGATGCATCAAGCTCCCCATTAGTTAGTGAGGAAGAAACCCTCAGGGCAATTGAAATGAAACAACTTAACATACAGAGTACCTGGCAAAAAAATTACAGGGCTAGACAAGAAGAATGTGGCAATGTTGGAGGTCTGTAACCGCAGCCTCCGGGAGCCTGCAGCCCTGGCCATACCACAGCAGCTCTTATGGACCCTTCTTCCTTGGCAAAGAGAGATTTGTAAAGTGATATTTGAAAATGTCTGCACAAGACAGCTTTGTCAATGTATTCCAGCATGGGATATTGGAAAAAAAAAAATCATGAAACCCACGATTATACTTTGATATGCAAACTCCCTGTTTCATAATAATTAAATAAAGAAGTTGTTTAATAAGCAGATTGGTAGGGAATAGATAAATAAATAAATTTCAAAATGTCAGGAGGTATTCTGGAAAGATTTCTGTACATTGAAACTTGCAGATTTAGAAAACTAGTTATGTATCTGGACATCAAAGTTTGTTCAACAAGCAATTTTGTAAACACCTTTAATAGGTCTTTCTGTTGGTTTCTATTTGCTCCCCTAAGAAAAGGAGGCAAGTCTTCACAAGCCAGATTTTGACTATAAGGATTAAACTTTTGTTGTTGTTGTTGTAAATAAATAGATTGCTTTATGTGTGAATCAGAGAACAAGTTACAATGGAATGATATCATTTCTGTTTCTCATGTTTTGTGCCTAAATCTTAATTAGCAAATGTGTCTGGTAAGTATGCATTGTAATAAATGGAATGTTACTGCAATTTACATGTAAAATTTCAAATATGTCAGATTTTTAAAGAGAAAATTTGTGCTGCTAATTGATTATGAGTTATTTTACTTGTGCCAGTGGGCAAGGGAGAGAAATAGTACATGTTGTGAAGAAACATAACACAAGAATACAAATATTTTCTACACTGAAATCATAGATCAATACATAGAAAATATATATATAGAAAAAAAAAGAAAAGTAAATTTGAGTACCCTGATGCTACACATTGTTTACAGACAAAACTGGGCTCAGGTCTTTTCTGTGGGGTTTCTAAATAGGGTATTTTGCATGAGGGGGTACTGCTGGTAATTTATCTTTTCCTTAACATACAGATACCTAGCAAGGTGTGTTATTTGTGTCCCAAATACACTGCTGGGTATCTCTGTGTTATCCTTCATTGCAATTAAAGTCATATTTGTACATCTGGTATTCCTACAAAACTATACATGTTATTATACATATATATGTGTGTTTTATGTATCTAAATATACAGTATAGAACAACTTTATATGCAGAACTAGTAGATGTGCAAAAAACCTGAATGTTCAATTATTTTTGCTTGCCTTATTGCTTTAACTTCTGATGACAGAGAAGCTGACTGACTATTGTAAATTACTTAGGAGTGGTAGATTGGAGTGGCAATTAATCTTACACCCTTGACTGGAGCTCTCTCTCCTCCTCCTTTACAGCAACTACTGTTTCTTTCAGTGTTGATTCACAGCATGAATATTCTCATCAAGAGATGTTCTACTGCAATTTTGGAAATGCAACATTTCTGTGCTGATACATCAGTTATTTTAATGTTCCCTATTTAATTAAATTATTATCAATATTGTTTTCTTATGCTTCTGTTTGAGGCAACATTAGTGCCTCTATTAATGTACACATTAATATTTGTGTCTGAAATATGTTGTCAGATGTTGTCTAAAGTTATTTACTTCTTAAGTCTTAGGGCTTGAAGTTCAGGCAATTGTTTTGTCTTAGCAGCAAGTTACAAACTTTTGTCAATAGTATCAGAACTTATGTAGGATGATATTCTGCTTCATGGGGTCAGGGATTTAAATAAATATACCACTAAAGTCAGGAGAACCAACCATGTGTTGGTTACAGTATGTTTCAATTCTGCTATCTCTCAATGCCTTTAATGCCAGTAATGAATTATATGGAGAAAAGTAGGGATCAGAATGTCTCTAAATCCAGGTATTTGTATGATGCTTTTATTCACTAGAATCTGTGATTTAAATACCAGAACAGTAGCAGATGTCTTAGCATCTTTAAATTTTACAGCTTCGTTTATAATTTCTCTGTTAAAGTTTTAATACTTTGAAGTGCATTGTACAAGTGCTCGTAGCATAACTACAAAATCACTTCAAGGGGATTTGAGGAATTCTATTCTTAGCAATTTCCTACAGGCAGCTTTTCAAATTCACTTTATTGACTCCAAACTGTTTCAATTTCTACTTGTATAATTTTACAAGAAATATGACAAATGTAACTGTTTTCCCCATGTTTTATGTCCCTAATGAGGAGCAAAAGGTCAAGGACTTTGGGATAGAGGGGGAAGCCAATTACTCTTGCTACTGTGCTTTGGAATACTGCTTGCAACTCACAGTCATTTTCTACCAGCAGTATTACAGGACAGTTAATTTCCTTAGAAAGTTTATGAGGCTCAAAGGATTGAGGTTTGTATTTTTTTCAATGTTTTCTATTCTTGGTTGAAAGAGACTGAGAAATATTCCCTCTGTATATATGCATGACACACATCATGAAATACAAAATATTTTAGAATATCCAGAACTTAAAGATTAGATTTTATATTGTAAGTTCATAAGTTACTGTAAGCTGCAGATAGATGTCTGACTGATTTTCAAAAACATTTATATGCCTACCTCATTGGAAGAGCTGATATACCTAGCCTATGAGGTATTTGTTAAAATCCTAATTAACTAAATGTTTCTTAGGCACATTAATTAAAAATCTGGTTCTAAATGTCATTAAGAGCTATGAAGGAAGGTGGTCACTGGAAAATAAAGAAAGGGTCAGAAGGAAAACCAGGTCAGTGTCATTAGCAAACTCGATAAATTCTTCTCATGTCTGATTTTGCACAGCTGACTTGGAGGCTGGGTGCTGAGGGAATCACAGGCTGGCTTGGGTTGGAAGGGGACTTTAACTCCTCTTGTCCTCTCCTCTGCCATGGGCAGAGACACCTTTCACTAGAGCAGGCTGCTCAAAGGCCTGTGATGAAAGAAAAAAGATGGGTATGAGCTTTCTTGCCCCATAAAAAAATGGACTGAATTTTCCCAGTGCAAAGAGAGAGGTCAGAGTGCAGGGACCTGCATTTGGAAATACCAGGCCTTGTAAGAGCCTGTGACAAGAGATGTGGGACTCCAGGTGGCTCTACAAAATGCTGTTTGTTGTATAGAAAATGTTACAGCAGTCTTGGGTCGTGGGGGACAGAGCCACACCTAAGCTGTCAGCTACAGCCACAGGCAAGCCTGTAGACCCTTTAGTTCTGGTTACAATGCATTATATGTTTTTCTTTGCTGAGCATCTTAATACATAACAACCAATCAGCATCATATAAAATACCTTTACTATTATCTATAGCCTATCATAACTACTATCATTACCATATTATGGTCATTACTGTCCAATCACATGAGTTAGTATGTTACAGTTTAAGGTTAAAGTTGTTTTTCAGTTTTCTTGCAGGGGAAAATTCTTAGACCTTTTTTCTACTTGCCACATCAGCATGTTTGTTTGCCTATAGTATCTTTCTGCTTTTCCTAAGGCCTATTTTTGCTTGGTGAAAACATCTCGTTTGTTTGTGGTCAACATATCCTTTGCTCTATTCATGAAACCCCCTTCCAACTCAATTTAACCTTTGCTTTCTTAGTTGTCCAGTAACGACTGGCTCAGCAATTCTTAATTTAGACATCTACTATTCTTCTATATCAAAACTTGCTTCCATCTCTATTCTGCTCTCAGGTTCTACATTCAGAGAGCTTTCTGCCAAGAGTACATCCCTGTGAAACTTTCT